CCGCCTCGCCCTCCTCGCCGGCGGCTCGCTCGGGTTCGCCGGCTACGGCCTCCAATACCTCCTAATCGTCAAGAAAATGTTCTCTCCGTCGTTTTTCACGATCTGGGCCCTCAGCTTCCTCGCCGGAAACAGCATTTGCTGGATCAACACCGTGTGTTACACCGTCGCCATCAACAACTTTCCGGCGAACCGTCATGTCGCGGTCGGGATTACCGCGAGCTACCAAGGGTTGAGCGGGAAAATCTACACTGACATAGTGAACGCGTTTTTCTCTGCGTCTCCCAGCGAAGCGACGGCGGGGTATCTCGTCCTGAACGCGATCGTTCCTCTGATCGTATGCGGTCTGACTGCGTTTTCGATCGCAGGCGGGGAACCCGGCCCGTTGCCGGACGCAAAAATAGGGTTCTTGGTGATGTTTATAATCACGAACGCGACGGGAGTTTACGCGGTGGTGACAAGTCTTGTTCCGGCGCCTGCGGTTTTGGTGCTAATAGGCATGGCTCTGCTTCTTCTGTCCCCTTTGGCAATTCCTCTTGGTTTCCGATTCGAGGAGCTCATGTTTTACAGTAAACAACACCAAAAGGTACACTAACATATATTTCACCGTTTCGTGTAAAATTGATGATAGAATGAACTGTATATTCTTGTCCTGTTGCTATGAATCGTTGTCCAGACCATATCTCTAGTGATTTAATGCACAAATAAGTGAATAATCTTTTGAAGAAATTGGTGGGATTTAGTGATTTTTTCGTAGTATGAAATTTTATTGGCACTAGATAAATTTATGGACCAACAAATGTATTAAAAATAATAGGCAGTTCGTTATATATCTACATCAAAAAAATTCAAATGAATGTCCTTACTTTGACTCAAAAGAGTGAATAGTCATATTTTTTTTTTGTCTTAATTTCATGGCGTGGTTATAAAATTTGAAGCTCGTATCAAGTTTTTTATTTTGTTTCACGTGAAATTGGATAAATCAATCATTATTTCCCCCTTTTAAATATCATTAAGAGATTCATTAGGTGATTGTATCACCCATTTGATCTCCTCCAATACGTGTCACTATTCCATTAACCAATATATTCCCTAATAATTTTAGTCCGAAACTGTAAGCATGTATGTATGTATGTATGTATGTATGTATGTATGTATGTATGTATGTATGTATCTGACATCTTCACTTATGTAATAATCAAGGTGCACGACGTGGAAGTTTCCTTCGGATCGCGGAGCGTTTACGTCGGAGAGGAAGCCGTTAAACTGGAGGGAGAGCAAGCGTTTTGTAACGCGGTCGGCGTTAAGGAGGAAATTCAATGGACGGGGCTTTGGAAGAAAATCGATTTCTGGATATATTTCAGTGTTTACCTTTGCGGTCCGGCCGTGGGGCTTGTGTTCTTGAACAACCTCGGACAAATCGCAGAATCTCGCGGTTGTCCCGCGACTGCGTCTCTGGTCGCTCTCTCTTCGTCCTTCGGGTTCTTCGGCCGGTTACTCCCTTCGTTTCTCGACTATTTCTTCTCAAGGTAAAATATTCGATACTATAATAATAATAATAATAATAATAATAATAATAATAATAATAATACAATATCACCAAATTTCGATTTTGGTCGATATCTTCTTCATTCAATTTTCTTCTGGCCATTTTATGAAATCGTTTTTTAGCGATGTGATTCACGAACTGGTATCTGGATTTGAGTGTTAAACAATTTTTAATTATTCTATGCAATGAAACTCTTGGGATTGATTTTAAAAGCCTATAAGCTAATAATGCAAAATGTGCATTAGCGTTGACGTTTTCGTTAAATTACCCAAAAAAAAGGAGGGCATTCATTCCATTTGTTGTGTTTGGTAGATTCATTGAACAACCTTCGACAGCCTCCTTATTTATTGCTGGTCATATTTCCTATTATTTCGGCGATTTTATGTTAGAATTAATCGCACAAATATTGAACTTTCTGCGACTAAAACGCCGCAGGAGCAAACACATGCTGTCAAGCCCAGCGTCAATGGCGGTATCGCTAGCGTTCATGGCCGTCGCGTTCTTTGTCCTCCTCATAGATTCCAAAGTGGCGTTGTACGGAAGCACGGCTGCGATCGGAGTCTTCACCGGTACGATCACGTCCCTTGCGGTGACGACCACCGCCGAGCTCTTCGGAACCAAAAACTTCGGCGTGAACCACAACATCGTGGTCGCTAACATACCCTTAGGCACGTTTGCGTTCGGATTCTTGGCCGCAAACGTGTATCACGAAAATGCAGAAACAGGCCGCGACGGCGGCAGGTGCATGGGGATGCATTGCTTTGAGACCACTTTGTTCGTTTGGGCATCACTTTGTTCACTCGCCGCGGTTCTCGCCGCGGTTTTGTGCGTCCGAACCCGCGGTTTCTACTCGCATAATAAGTCATAGAATTTTGTTTTGTACATGAGACTTGAGAATGAGTACACGTATTGATATATATAGAGAGAGAGAGATATAGGATTTGGTATGTATAGAAGGTATTACTAAGAATAAACACAATCCAGTCTTTATCCGACTCAAGTTTTGTTAACTGAACTAATACTGCCCCAAGAAGAAACTAGAAAACTGAACCCAGGAGTATAAAATTTCCAGAAATTCGAGATTTTAACAATTCATTCTACAGAGACAAGTTACGATGACGATCTTTTGTTGGGGAAATCTCTGTATGTCAAAAGAGTTAGGCCATGAGAGAGATTTTTTTTTTGGTAAACGAGTGTTTTGGACCAAAACCCAAACTAATCTCGGAATCGAGGTTAGCCATGTGATTTGAAATACTCCCTCCCCAAATTTGAGATTCGAATTCAGGTTTGGATAGATGTTTTATGTATCCGTTTCACCTTGAAAAAATTTAAATGTGATTGACAAAGACATGTAACGAGTGTAAGATTCAGCTGGTGGCTTTGATGAACTGGCTTGTCATTGTCACGGAAGATTTAGATTGTAGCCACCAGGTCATTTATGAATCAACTAGGGGTGGCATTTCCCCAGAGTTGATAGTGCTACTGACGAAGTGACGTCATAACAACACAAAGTCTACTAAAGAAAACGATTGCAAGCTTACCTCGAATTCTCTTGAAATTCCATTGAAATCCGAAATATTCTTATAATCTGAATAACATCAACAGGAATGATGTAGGAATCCTTCCGAAGCATGCTTTACCCTCCAAGGATTGAGACTCCTGCCATTCATCAATGATGCACCATTACCAAAAACACGAATTAAGGAAAAAGGAGATGTCAGAATTGGTATACTCTGTTCATCCCTATTTATACAACTTATGCAATGAAAGCCCATGAATATATGACACCCAAGGAAGTGAAAAAATTTATACTGTAACAGACTTGATTTCCAAATTTCTCTGAATTCAACATCGCACAAAAATAGGAAGTTAATACTGGCAATGGCTAGAAACTCAACAATCAAAATATTGTGGGCTGAGAACTGAATCCAAGGAATGCGTTTCTGATTATGTGAAACTGGATGGAATGTTCTCAGTGATGTTGGTGAATATTGCGCATCGAATCAGTGATTTTCTGGCAGTCATACTCCATCGTCTTCATCCAGTTCTCGAAATCCCCTATTTCCTGCACTTTTTTTTTTTAATGGTACATGAATACGTCCCAAACAGCAAACGGGAAAATTGAAAATGGCGATTTTCCCTTGCAAATTAATCGCGAATTGACTGTTGTGTGAATTTGAATTCAACCTTAATGGCGGTGTTAAAGGCGCGAGTAGCGGCCAACCACTGATCGGTATGCTTCCTGAATCGCGCAATCGTCATTCGTCACCGCCTCTATCCTCTTCTCGCTCACCAATTCACTGCCTCCACCAGCAGATCCGACGCCCTCGCCGCGTTCCTTATCGCCTCCTTCCTCGCCTTGTCTGTTTCACGTAGCGTGAAAATCTCGGCGTTTTCTACTTTCGAATTTTCTCGGGAAACAAACAGAACGTCAAAAAGGAGTGAAGGCGGTTACCCCGGTCTGCTCCGGGAGCCGGACAGACGCTTGCTGATCAGCTGTAGGAGATTCGATTCCAGCGTTCCTGACTTCGACTTTCGGCGATGGTACCACGCGCTCACGCGCCGCCGTCAGGGACATCGGCGTTTTCATCGTATCTCCGATTGTTCGGCCCTGAAACCAAAGCCCATGGGCATCTACAACCTTTAACAAAAAAAAAGCCCATGGGCATCATCATCATGACTTCACCGCAACAAAATAATTATTCACGACTGCGTCGTTATTTTAAATATGTGCTACCGCACTACGCGTCGTTTACATCTGAAGAAAACATCATGCAGTCTCATTATTTCATTTTGATTTTTGAGGGAGTTAGTAAATTTTTTTTTGTGATTACTTTTAGTAACAGAATTGTTCTATCTCAAGGTATTTCTCGTTGTTAAAATTTTAATATTGAGATTGATCCTTTTCAAAATTTTATATAAAAATTATTAGGATATATTTTCGATTTTATGTTGAAAATAATTTTTCCCTATCCGCTCAAATTCCATGAAGTAGAAAGATAGTATATAATTTTTAAATTACAACAAGTTTATGCATGCATGTATTATCACCTAGGTCCTTGAAAAATGGACATCCCCTCGTGTATTACCAATACTTTATATTTGGGCTACTCTACATTAATTTCATCTTAAAATTCAATTTGCAATATCAGCCCCAATATTATTTTTTTTAAGGTTTTTACATCAACAATCTTAAGTACCAGTATTAAATCTAGTTCTTTGGCTACATATGATTATAATGATTATTTCTATTTTTTTGGGTTATCGTATATTTTTAACCAAAATCTATATTAATCTCAGGAGTCGAAAACCAATCATTTGATTTGGAACAATTGACATAATTGAATCTGGTCCTCCAAAGCCGTAAATATATAAGTATCAAGACGAGCTGGGAATTTAGGGTTCTGTTCGCCGAACTTCGAGGCTAATTTCTAAAGATAATTTTGTGCATTTCTAAAAAGAATTCGGTAAAAAGTTATAAGATGGGTATTATTTTACAAAATAACTTCAAAATTTGAGATTTAAGGTTATTTCACGATATATATATGTGTATATATGTATATATATATATATATATATATGCATATTCGAAATGGTGTGAGCTGTAGACGCCGACAGGAATTAAGAAACATTAATGTAATTAAGAGCCTGTAGGACTGTGTGGGATCACGAAAACATTAAAATATATATATATATATATATATATAAAGTAGTGTCATGTGACATCTCTGTTAGGTGTTATTAATAGATCATATTGCTTTGATTGTTGTGTGATTAATTAATTAACTAGTATAAGTTCTATAATTAAAGCGCCCTAAATATTTATAATCAACATGTAATGACACACCGTACATGGGAATTCTCATTGCTACATATATATATATATATATATATATATATATATATCACATATATATAGAGAGATATATGTACATGTACATATTATATTACATATTACACATATATCATATATAAATATAGATATATATACATATGTATATATATATATATATTTATATATATATATATATATTGTTGAACTCCGCACGTCATTTAGAGTCATATATATATATATCAACATTAATTTGCATTCAGATTTTAAGGAAATAAACGTATTAATGATGTCAGTTGTGAAACAAAGTGCGTGTAATCAATTTGAAAACAATACAAACCAAACATTATTGACCCAAGAATTCAAGAAGAAAAAATAACTGTAACGTTTTCGTGCCCGAAAAAGTATAAAATGTCAATGGAAATAAACGAACCTAAAATTAAAACCCAACCAAAAAGAAAAAAAGAAAGATCAGTCGAAGTAATGAACAATATTATTGTTACTAGAAATATCGTGAGTTTCTATAGCCCGCGGCCGCAGACGACGGCGGCGGATTGTATGTAGAGGTGGCGATGGAGGAGTTAGAATTAGAAGAGGAGGAGGAAGAGGAGATCACCACCGACGGAGACGGCAAAGACGGCGGTGGCGTCCGCGGCGGAGCAGGGGTCAGTTGCGGCGGCGGTGCGGAAGTGACCACCGACCCCAACGTCTGTAGTGTGGGCGATGAGAGCGTCTGGAGAGGCGGCGGCGGCGGCCTGGCTGTATTTGAAGCGGAGGATGTCGGATCTAACGGCGGAGATCTCAGCATGAAGGGATTGAATCTGGTGTTGGAGGGCTGAGATTGCTCCCATGCAACCGTAGACAGGATCTCTTAGCCTTAGGTTCGCTTCGTAGACCAGACTGTTCGCCGCATCTCCTCTCTGACTTTCCGGCACCTCCTATGCATGTCTCATCACACCCACATCAAGCATATACATATATATATATAGTTATAGATACGTAGCTGTATATATATTAATGGCTTCTTGTATATCCATGCGTAACTTATTCCAGCTAAAATCTGAAACTTGGATTATCTTAAAGAACAAAGTTCAAATCTTAGGGTTAGAGCATTCGTATTAGGAAATTATTTAACGTAGATCGAAAAATCTGCGTACACACATATATAAAAGTGTATGTATGTGCGTAAGTATATACCGTGAGCAACTTGGAGACGTTGCTAGCGCCGAAGACTTTGTGAACGGCGGCGAACTTGTGGGGTTCATGAGGGGAGAAGTAAGGGGAGAAAGGGCACTCCGCCGCACAACGCCGGCGGAGGAGCTTGCAAGCGGCGCATGGAGTCACTGTGTTCAACGTCGTCGCCGGCGGTGCTGCCACGTGTCTCCTCCCCATTACACCACCGGGAGACAAAACGGTATGATCCCCTGTCGTTTTGGGGTCGTTAATGATGAGCTCACTCAATACTATCTTCTTCCCTATCTCGTTATTATATATTATATATATATACATATATACTCCCTGCAAATTACGTATTTTCTTTTCAACTTTCACATAAAAATTTACACTTTGTTTTCGTAGACGTACGTACCTGTCTCTGGAAATCCAAGCATTCTAATAAAGATGGTTTGTGAGCATCAATGGAGGATGAGGAAGAAGAAGAAGGAATATCTAGAGCTTAAAAAAGGGAAGCTTGGTCATATTGTGTGTGTGTGTGTATGTATATATACACACAAATACCTGTTCTTTTATCGTTGAAAAATCTATTTAAAAGAGTGTACTTACCAAAAAAAAAATCTTCCAATTTAACCATTTTATTTTTTTCCATCTCAAACATATATATAATTTCAACCTACTTGAAATAGATTTTAAAGTTTAGAAACAAAACATTATTATTTAAGGTTTTTATTAAATGAGTAATAAAAAATCAGGAGGGAACCATGGCCGTCAGTTCCACGCGCTCTACTGGAGCGTGGATCATATTCGAGAGTAAAATGCCACGCAAGCTACTATAGTACGTGGGCCTAAAGGTGAGGCCTGGGCCTATATTTATAACCAGTCCATTATCACGTGTAGGGTCCATATGGTGGGATCTGTCCTTTGAACCCTCTAATTCTCATATGCCATATTTCTATTTCAATTACAGCCCATAAGTTTGGGATTAAAAAAATTGTGTGGATGGGATCATTTGGGATCTCTCAGCAACACCTTTACGTTCGAAGCGTAACATCCTCTGGCGCCATTGTCGTGATTCGATCCATACCTGAACCACATTCTTCTGTTGGGCACTTCCCGGAACCCCGAGGACCTCGCCGGAGAAGAAGGCGCGAAGCTCGACCATGACTCTGAGGAAGAAGACGACGACGAACACGTCGCACTCGCTCTCCGGCTACGGTTCTTGCGGAGGACGGAACCCAAGAGGGTATTAGGTTTAGGGTTTATCGGTTTTGGGGAAGAACGAACGTACAACTACGAAGGCGGAGGCGTGAGGGGAGGAACTCGGATCGGAGAATCAGAATCGGAACGGGAAACAGAGTGTTTGAAGATCCTTTTGGAGTTCCCGGCTGCGATTCCCATTTGAAGGGCACCGCGGCGGAGGATCCGCCGTAGTAATCTTCACCGACGGCGATTCTGCAAACCCTAGAATTGTCCGGACGGGGCCTTGGGGCGATGGAAAGACGCGATTTTGCTTTCTGGGTTTCCTCTGTTTTCAGTTACCGAGCTGAGAGATGAGGAAGAGACTGATTTTTGATTGGGCTTTCCATATTTTCTCGTTGAACGTGAGTGACAGAGAGGGAGAGAGAAGTGAAGCATAGAGATTCAGATTCGAGAGTTTTGATTTCGTTATGGTCTTATCTTCATGTCGGATTTTTTTTGGTCTTTGTGAAGTTTTGAATTCAAAAATTCATATACAGAGTTGACCTTGAGACGTTGCAGGAAGATGGAGATGGTGAAGTAACAACCGTATTTTACTCATAAACACTTACAGAAATCAGTCCTTAACACACATTGCCCGCTTTCGGTATATGAAATTTTCCTTATTGAAACAAATGCTACAACATCGCCTTTGCACATTCCCCAGCCCCATTCTTCTACAGCTCTATAAAATTTGGGGACCTTGTCAAGTCTATGAACTCTGGAACTTGCCGCTTCTTCTTGAACGATCCTGCTCTGCAGCTCGGAGAAGGAGTCAGCAGATCTATGACATGAACTTCATCTGACATACCGAAATGCTTTCTTGCCCGATCCATACCCGTTGATTTTCTTACCCGATTTTCAACAAGTTCACACAACTGATCCTTGTTATCCATGTCTGTACCATTTTCCTTGTCAGTGTTCCTCTCCATACCAGACGAGCATGCTCCTTCAGCGGTCTCTTCTGAGCAAAAGCCATTGAAGTTTGTTAGCCTATCGTCAATAACAACAGCATTCGGTTCTTCCAGATGTTCAAATTCTCTGCTGCAAACTTCTCTTTCACCCAGATGGAAATTATCCAATGCGCCTGTTGTATTCTCGGGCTTGTTCTGGTTATCATCATTCTCTTCTTCCGTAGCTTTGGAACCATCTTCATCTTCTGATTGAGAACCATCTAGGTTCGTGAAATGAGGAAGCTCATCCATAGGACAAACTTGGACCTTCATGTGCTCGGGCAAACTTGGACAGAGAGCGCTGTGGTGCATGTACTTTGTCGAGAAAAAATTCACCGTGAGGTTTAAACTGGTAGACACAACATAGAGAGAAGTTACTGATGAAATAATCGACATCTCCATGGAAATGCACTGAAGAAAAATAAATGCACGAAATAGTACCTTTGCCACGCTGGAAGATTGAGCATTGTATACGCAAGCTTGATCTTGTTTGCAACCCCGGAGAAGGATTTGAAAGCAGAAGCTGCTTCTCTCACCGCTAGCGATTCTCTCGGGTGCTGCCATGCCCACTCAAACTGCAACATAGAAGGCTCAGTTGACAGTAATAACACAAACCAACTTAAGAAAAGAATCTGACATGATACTCTTTCTACATGTCTTTGAAATGCCTCAGCTTTTTGCCATATCTCAACTCAGACAGTCTGGATGACAGATCCACGAGACTTGTCACTTGAGAGAGATGAAATGAAAGAAACGAGGTATCATGCAAGCCCAAAAGAAAAGGGTATCGCCAGATTATCATTTGCAAGGGAAAACAGATAACCTGAAGAGCAGAGACGTTTGAGGGGAAACCATAGAGACATAGGACCATTTCCCATGGCCGTTTGCTCTTCGTCCTCCAGGCACCACATGTGATCTCTCCATTGTGCTGTCTAATTCTGCGCCTCGGGTTCACTGTAAATCTGCAATCAGATGAATCCATTTGAACACAGTAATTCATATCAGAAAAAAGCGTTAGCACCACCAAATACACGACTAAAAGTCTGATACTTCCGAGTCCTATATCAATCTTATTTTCCAGAATGCACCCATGAAAGAGAGCATCAACTTTCATCAAACAAGTCTTATCATTAAAAAAAAAACCCAATTTCACCATCAATCCGGTCCACATATAATATCCGTGACCGTGAAAAAAGAGCAGTGATTTTGATTACCCAAGCTTTAGCATCAGAAGAAACCCAACAACTAAAAGCCCTATCATCGACTCCGATCGGAGGTAATACCAAAATCGATTCTTTTACAAGCAAAATCGATCGCTAAAATTCAAGGGATCAGAGCAACGCACAAAGCCAAAACGAGATCAGAGCAAACAAATGGGACCCAGAAAACAGATCCGAGAAGAAGAGAAATTACCCGATGTAAGTATGACCCTTGTGGCGCGGGCTGAGGGAGGTCAAGAGGTAGCAAGCAAAGAACCTTTTCCCCTCATTGGAGGTGATTTCACGCGCTTCGTCTTCTCCAACCGCATCTAGGGCTTTAGGGTTTCTCCCCCTTTCCTTTCTCCTCATTTTCCTTTTTCCTGTAAATTCGACCGTTGCACCACAGAGAGATGAGAAAGACTCCATTTCGTTATCAAGAAATAATGGGGGTGTAACCAATTCTCGTATGGGCCATAATGGGCCTTTAGATATCCGATGGGCCCAACAAGACAAACCCAATAAAGAAGGTGGGGGCCAGTATTCACGCGCGGATAATCGAGCGTGTGCGCCGAATAGAACCTGCTTCGTGAACCGTTATAACGTCTTTCCCAACATTATCCGCTGCCACTGTCGCTGTGACGTTGCTTTTGATTTCATGAGGAGGAGGAGGTAGTTTTCAGAAACCTGTGTGTTCTCGTTGTCTGGTTTTCCCGTGCTCCTTGTCCTCATACTTAACTGAATTAACTATATTTTCAATATGCACATCTTTGGAACGTGTGCAACATAATGTAATATATGATGTCATCATTCTCCCGTCTTGTATTTTTTTTTCTTTTTTAGGGTGGATGGTTTAGTTAGGGTCATGGCCGGTCTCTATGCAATCATCCGACTGCCATCAGTCAGCCCCTTGTTTGCCACCAAAACCGGAAACCGGAACCAAACAAGTGGGGAGATGTCTGTTTAGTTGGAGCAATCGGTAGGATGAAGCTCAAAGCGTGTTATTATTTGCTGAAATTTCAGAAGGAAATCAAACGGTTTGAAGAAAAATTATATGTGTTATTAATGAAATGAGGAGGAATACGTTTCTTAAACTCGAGAAGAAAATGAAAAGGACCAACGGAAGAACCATACAAATTCTAACCAAATCAAACAAATGGTAACCAGATTAAAGCAGATCAAGCGGAACCGACTTAAAACAAAGCCACGTGGCGATTTGATAACTTATTTTTTGTTGGGGGGTTTGCCTAATTTCCATCTAAAAATTGTCATGTGCCAAACCATTCGTCGGAACAATAATAAGAGTGTGCATGCCAAGTTGGATAACAGATAGACAATGCATTAGAGAGAGAGAGAGAGAGAGAGAGGTTGTCGTCGCAGCCATTTCGTTGTCCCTTTGTTTTTTTTTTTTTTTTTTTTTATACAAGAGGTTGATGTTTAATTCCTCAAAATTCTTCCAACTGTTGGGAGTGGGTTTGATAGAAAGACTCCCGCTTTTATCTGGGCAAAATTATGTCACTGAATGAGAGAGTGCTCTTATCTCTCATAATAATCTGAATTCAATAATCATACCTTAAACTTATCATATAATAATCAAACGGTCAATTATAGCATTTTTCAATTTAAAATGATTTTGCTGCCGCATTACTCTAGAGAGTGTCAGGCACAAGAGTTTAGCCAACTATCATATTTTTTTATTCTCTTTTTGCCATCCTTTCCTTCCTGGCTTCATGATTCCCACACTACTCTGTCCCCTTAATCATGCCACACTGGACTCTAATCATTTCGTTTTGTAATCATAATCACAGTCTCATAGGAGATTACAAGTATGATTAATGGGAAAAAAACACCCTGATCAGCTTATTTAATAATATTATGGTGCACTCACACAAACAAACAAAAAAAACCACGATTTATATAAGAAAAACTACGGATTTGGTACACTGCCTTTGGTGAATAAAGACTGCAAGAGACTTTTTTCGTGTTTTTTATTTCATTTTTTTAAATCCTTTGGTGGATCACCATTATCGTATAATCATCTATCATCACGTATACATGTGGATAGTGCTTTGAGATTGAAATCTAGCAATGGTTGGATTGAATTTAATGATCAAAACATATGAGTGGGTTGTCGAGTTGCGAGTCATGTCCGAAGCGGACGAGCTCCGGCCTTAATTTGTTACTCCATACGTCTTCGTAGCAGTCCGAGTCGCCGCCTCTCCGTCTCGCCTCCACCACCACTAGGCGATCGTTGAGGCGGAAAAAGTAGATCGTCATTGCGAATTTACCGTAATGCCCTTCTATCTCGAGCCCCCATTCCTCTTTCTTCCTCTTCTTCGCCCTCAGCCTCTCCGCCCTCGCGAGCCTTTCCGCTTCCTCCATCAGTTTCTCTGGACACTCCTCCGAGAGGAATCTCTCGCAGTCCACCGATTTGCAGGAGCTTTCGAACAAGGTCGAGAGATCTAATCCTGATGAGAACGAAATCAGATCGAATGCGTTCAGATTCTTCACCCCCTCTGGTTCATCGTCGCCCTTGACGGGATCGGAATCCTGATCGGGTTCGTCGTGGAATTTGATCGGTTTGACTCCTCCTTTCACGAACCATGGATCCTTCAGGATCTCATCAATGGTGATCCTCGTCTCGGGATTTGCGTCAAGGAGGCGAGAGAGGAATCGCTTCAGATCCGGAGACATCCATCTCGGGCATCGGTAATCGCCTTTGTATATCTTCCTGTACATGTTCATGAGATTCTGGTCGTTGAACGGCAGATAACCGGCGGCGAGGACGAACAGAACGACGCCGCAAGACCAGACGTCGACCTTCACTCCCTCGTATCCCTTTTTCGAGAGAATCTCCGGCGCTACGTAAGCCGGAGTCCCGCACAAGGTGTGCAAGAGCCCGTCGGGTCGGATTTGTTCCGTTAAAGCGCTGAGACCGAAATCGGAGACCTTCAGGTTTCCGTTCTCGTCGATGAGGAGATTCTCCGGCTTGAGATCGCGGTGGTAGACGCCGCGCGCGTGGCAGTAACCGACGGCGGAGATGAGCTGCTGGAAAAACTTGCGGCTGAGATCCTCGCTTAGACGGCCGAGCTTGGCGATTTTGTTGAAAAGCTCACCTCCCTTGACGAACTCCATGACGAAGAAGATCTTCGACTTCGTCGCCATAACCTCACGGAGCCTCACGATGTTCGGGTGGTTCAATCGTCGCATGATCGAGATCTCGCGCTTGATGTTGGAGGCGAGGTTGGGATTGGCTGCGAGTTTCTTCTTGTTGAGGATTTTGACGGCGACGCTCTGGCCGGAGCGGCGGTCGCGGCCATGGAATACCTTCGCGAAGGCTCCACAGCCGAGAAGCTTCCCGAGCTCGTACTTGCCAAAGAGCGCGGCGGCGCAACTGTCACCGGCGACTTCATGGTCGATCTCTGGCATAATTCGAGCGGCCAGGGATCGATTTCACGGGATTAAATTCAGCAGAGAAGGAATTCTTACGCCGGAGAAGTTGAATCTCCTTTGATGATTTTTTTTTGTTTTTTTTTTTTTTTTTTTTTTTTGGCAGTTATGAATTTGAAAAAGGAGAAGAAGGTTGGGGTATTTAAGAGGAGAGACTTTGGGGGAGGTGGAAGCGCCCAGAATATTTAGACACATTATCTTATCTACATTTCTTATTTTTAGAAAAAATAAATAAATTTTGTTTTAATGTATTTTTTTTTAATTTAAATTTACTCGATTTAACTGATCCATCAATTATGGATTTTACAACTTTATATCTATATCCACATATCCTTAGTCTTTATTACTGTTTAGTAGCTAATAATAATAATAAAGAAATCTGTCCAAGTCTTTTGCATGTCTATATCCACGTCCATTTTGTTTTATTACCGCGTAGTTTTCATCAATGGTTTTTAAAATTAAAAAATAAAAAAAATTGTTTTTCCTACACTATAATATATGGGTTTGATTTTTATATTTTGCCGTATAATTTTAAAAAATTTAAATTCATGGTGAAAAACTAATGCATATATTTTTTTGCCAGAAAATTTAATATAATTATGAATTTTTATGACACTGATCTAATGGTTTATGTGAAATTTATATAATCAACAAATTGTAGTATTAAAGAAGGTTTAAAATGGGCGTAAAATCAGTGAAAAACTTAAATCACAAAACCTTACATGCACAAAATGATAGTATGAAAGTATAAACAATGTAACTTCTAAATAAATCTAAATAAGACTATATTTTCCTTTGATATAATAAACGTGCAAATTATTAGAGAGAATTTATTTTTTGATTATCATATCATCAATAAATTTATTTTTTCACAAAGCGTGTTTATATATATATATATAATTCAAATCTCTTTCCAGATGTCTAGTCATTTTACAAATGGCGTAATTCAGAAATATGTATTTTTGGTACGAACCTGTTTCTGAGCGTGTGTATTTTACACGTTCAAAGATGTAGATAGTTAGCTAAACTATAAAAAAACTTATCTTGTGACAAAAAAAAAAATCAAACTAAGGCCGAGACACGTGGCGATACGTGAGTGGTGGAAATTTGAAGAGGGTTTCGTCGACGGTGCTGCTGGATGTGTGGGGGGGGGGGGGCC